TTCCTGCCCATTCTTAGCAGTCAAATCAGGCCCAGGTGCATGTTGTGCACAATCAGTCTTGCCTGGCAATGGGAAGGAAGAGAAAAGCAGGACTGGCAATCACAATCACTGGCAATCTGGAAAGACGTGCCCAAATTCACATCTCTATGTGCCTCAGCCTGTAGCCTTTGCAATTAAATCCTGTATCTTTGATCTCACAGTGCTTTAGAGAACAAGTGGTCTAGCCCTGCACCTTGGGAGTACTGTGGTCCCCACCCTGGGGATGCTGCCGTGGCCAGCAGCCTCTGGAAAATCACCATTTCAGCACAGACTAGGAGAATCATCACTGCAGCTTGCATTCCTACTGATATCAATAACAACCAAAAAAATTATTCAGTCATCCTACAGTTTGACCCTCAAGTCAATTCCTCCTGCACTCCAGCTGTGGAAATCCTGTTCCCTGTGCTGACTCTGGTCTTGATCTCGGTCCCAACCCCTCTCTTTCAAATGATGGCACAGGGGTAAGAGTAGAGTTTGGACAACATCAGTGTTGCCTATCCATCAGTGCAGGAATATACAAGAAAAATCATCTCCAATTCTTCTTTCTGCATTAAATCAGCTTTATTTTGGCAGTGCTTGCTCTACCCATACCACGCACCAATGCCAGCAAGCCTGCCTTCCCTTCTCTAGGCTCTTTCAATCTCTGCTAATCCAGCCAGAAAGATTTTAAAAGGTATTTCTCTGGTGTAAATGTTGCTGCTCTGCTAAGACTCCATCATGATGATTCTTTGTTTCATTTTTGTTGGAGATATTGAATTTGGCTTTTGAACCAGATTTTATCTGGGTCCCTGATACTTTGCAAAGCTTGTTCAATTTGCTGAGTTAAACCTACAGCTGATTCACAGCTCTGATCTTTCCTTGCTCATTACTACAAAACAGAAGGTGGGATTTTCCAAAGCAGACAGTGCTTCCTGGACGTGGGTTGCTTTTAAAAATCCTTTTCATAAGTACCATTACTTATGTTTTTTCCATTCTAGGAGCTTCGAAATAATCGGTATTGCTAAGTACGAGGAGCTCTATATGCCCTACCAAGTAGTTCCATAATGTTGAGACTTCCTTAGAATAGTCTTTGTTTTAATGTAAAAAAAAAAAAAAAAAAAAAAAAACAAAAAACCAAAAAAACAACAAAACAGTTCAAGGAAGGGTTGCTGGGGATCCCTAAAAGCTAGCATGGCAAAGTGCTGGCTTTGCAAAAGCAGGTCCCCTCAAGTCAGGAACACAAACCTTTTGGGCTCCAAAACCAACTCAGCTCTGCTGCAAACTGGACCACTACCACACACTCAAGCATCAGGTGGCTTTTCCAAAAAGAGAGTCTGAATTTGATTACCAATCCAGTAACTTCCTTGTTTCCTCCTTTGTGACAAGCTTTTAAGGGGAAAATAACCTTTTATCCAGGTTTGAAACACTAGGTGAAGGACAGATCAAAGTGACAGGCCAAAGCCACAGATGCCCTGCATGGACACAGGCTGGGCCTTGCACCCCCTCTCCCCATCTGACTGAATCCCAAAGGAGGTGGTGCCCAACCTCTCCAGCTTTGCTGAGAGGTGGTGAGTGCCCAGCAGGTCCTCCACCCCAGTAAAGCCTTGGGGACATAGCAGGAGCCCGGAGGTGATGCTTGGGGACCAGGTGTGGTGGGATGGGAGTGATGGGAGCCAAACTGCAGCCACTGCCAGCTCTTGCTCCAGATCAGGGTGTTGCCAGACCTCCCTGTGCAAGGAGAAAAGGAGCAGGGCAGAAGTTGGCAAGGACTGTGCAGTGACACGGGGAGGTGGGTGAGGGCTCACAGACTCAGTGCCACATAATGGGGAGTGGTTAACCTTTCCCTGGGATTTTGTGGCAGAGGGAAGAGCAGCATCCCTGCTCCCAGGCCGCTCTGCAGCCTGCACAGATGGGGGCACAGTGCTGGGTTTGCTCCCTTGAGGGGAAGTGCCCTTCTCTCGGCTGGCTGCTCCCGTGACTGTCACCACAGAAAGGTCAGTGCTGATGGAGGGGGGGTTGTGGTGGCCCATCAGGCCACCCCTCCCAGTCCACTGTGGCTGGTGAGGGCTGCCCTTTCCCCCGCTCTGCAGCTTCCCTACCTCTGTGAGCATTTCGCTCAAATCCAGGCCTATGAAAGCAACCATAAATACAGCTGCGTCCTGAGCTGTCATGAATTGTCTGGAGGCCAAAACACAGATTGCTCCCACACAATCTCATCTCTCACCTACAGCCACACTGAGAGCTGCGTCCTCGGAAGGCACGAAGAGTGCAGGAGATGGATGGGGAGAAGGGCTGGAGTGTAACGCTGCCCCGGGAGGACATCACGCTAATGTGAGAGATGTGACAGAAGGACACCGAGAGGCAGAGAGCGTGTGGGAGCAGGAGGCTTGGGAACATTTTGCTGCAAGAACATCATGACAGCTTCTTGAAATTAATGGAGGCAGAGGCGGGCACGAGAGGGGCTGGCCATGCAGCAGCCCTGATGGGCATGCTCACCACCATGGGAAGCAAGTAATCCGAAGCCTACCTTGCTCAGCTGAGCAGCTTTCATTCCCCAGCCTCTGGCTGCTCCACATGGGGAAAGAAAGCCTTCTCCATTCTCTCTGACAGTTTGACTAGGGGGCCAAGACACACCTCAGACAGCTCAAAAGCAGAGAACAGCAGAGACGATCCAAAAGCCTCTCCTGGCATCAAGGAGCCACTCTGCAAAACACAAAGCCCCACTGCCAGCACCAAGCCACAGCACAGTCCAATCTCAACACCTGCATGACTACAGTGATGGGAAGGGCTCTTTAATTCAGGGCTCGGTGCAGCTTTCAGCAGTCTGAGCAACACTTTCAATTTGGCCTGTGACACAGCAGGGCAAGCCAAAAGCCAGCACTCCCATGGAACACCTGGCCATACAGAAGTCAGGATAGCTGCTCACTTGCTTCTTTTTCTCTGAGGTTATTGCAAGCTGCCACCCAATAGCCTTCAGATGAGGTTCTGCTTTCAACATGCACTTAGAAACAACCACTGGTTTTAAAAATCAGGGATGGAAAAGCTCCTCTGGGGAGCAACATTAAGAATGAGATTTCCCTGAGTAAGCAACAGAAGATGAAATGAATAGACATCGATCTTCTCCTAAAGAACTTTGTGCACATGATGTTGCTAAATTCCCCATCTGGGAAGTACAGAGGATAATCTATAAAATCATTTTATTTGACAACATGTCCACTTCCAACACATAAGGCAACAACTGAATGGTTATTTGATTAATGTGCTAGAAAATACCGAGTATCTCTTTGTGTGGACACTCTCATTTGCAGGAATTATTGCTGAGAAGGTTAAGAGGATGTGTCTGTGTGGGTCTGTGTGACTTTGGAATGTGAAACAACTCTAAAAACAATGCAAGTCAGGAGATGTCACATAGTGTATACCACTGAAACAGGCAGGGCTGTGCAAGGGCACATTTTAGAGTCCCTGGTGGGACGCTATTAGCCAGGGTGAAAAGCAGCCGGGACAGCAAGGTAAACATTCTGGGGCAGTGAGATGAACCAGGAGATGTTCAGTAACTCATTAATGTGAATCATTAGTACAAACACTTTGGGTCAAGCCATTCTGTTCTTGACACATCCTGATAAACCCAAACCTTCATCTGATTTGCTGTGGGTACAGGTTCCTGCAGCATGAAGTTCAAAGCCTCTGGTACCAGCCTGACTCTTCCCCAGAGCTCTGCACTGGTTTGGGATTTCACTGTGAAGCTGCAGATAGGGTCCAGCTACTATGCTAGAAGACCTCATAGAGCAGTCACAGTATCACAGAATATGCTGAGTTGGAAGGGACCCACCATGCTCATCGAGTCCAATTCCTGGCAGGATACCCCAACAATCATACCATGTGCCTGAGAGCATTGTCCAAATGCTTGAACTCTGTCAGGCTTGGTGCTGTGACCACTTCCCTGGGGAGCCTTTCCAGAGCTCAGCCACCCTCTGGGTGAAAAACCTTTTCCTGATATCCAACCTAAACCTCCCCTGACTGGTCACATGAGGAAAGAGATCAGTACCTGATGCTTCCCCTTGTGAGGATGCTGGAGACCACAATGAGGTCTCCCTTCAGTCTCCTCCAGGCTGAACAGACCAAGTGATCTGAGCCACTCCTCACGTGGCTTCTCCTCCAGACCATTCACCATCCTCGTGCCCCTTCTTCAGACACCGTAATTGCTTAATGCCTTTTTTATATTGTGGTGCCCAAAACTGCACACAAGACTCGAAGTGATGCCACCCAGTGAAGAGCAGAGCAGGAAAATCACCTGCTTTGACTGGCTGGCAATGCTGTGTGCTTGAGGCAAACCAGAAGGGATTAAATAAGGTTATAAATAGTGGGGATCTGTCTTTGCCCAATTCACTGGGAGGTGGATATTTAACACAACAATGTGACAGTGTTCACAGGAAAGGTGAAGAAGCCAGCAAAAGTCTGATTTGATGCCCAAATATGGTCATATGAAATTGTGCATCAATAACCCAGAGTAACAAACTGAGAAATTTTGAAGTAAAGAATTATGTTGTCACATAGCACAGAAAAAGAAAAAAGTGTTTGAAGGGCAGAATCATTAGATCCAAAACCAGATTCACTAAACTCACCAAGGAGATGCTGAGTGATCTTAATTTCAAGAGAAAATAATGGTAATTTAAGAACCAATCCAGACTATGACCAAGACAGGAAGGTTGCACTTTGGTCTTAAAATCCTGTTTATGAAAGAAGATTTTTGATTAGTATGGAGATTATGGAATGGGGGGGGACAGGTTGTCAAACATTCAGCTGCAGAAACTGGCAATGGTCACAGTTTGTTGTAGCAGAAAGGTCAGAACTAAAGGTGCCTCTAAGGTCAGATTAGATGTTGGTACCAATTAACTAAGCAGGTGCCAACAGGATAGATGAACTGTCAGAACACCGTTTCGAGCAGATCACTGATGTGCATGTTGCTGATGTTTGAGTTACAGGAGAAGTGGTGCTGGTGCAGAAGCTGGAGACAAGCCATGGCAGGCCAGTTTCCAAGAACTGGCTGCATTGTTCATGAGGACCTTGGAAGAGCAGCTGTGCAAGAGTTATCCTACTTTGTGTAGCAAGCACATGGGAGACAGCCCCAACAGCTTCACTACCAACCAGTTCCCTATAAAGTAACATAGTCGAAGCCATCCCCAGAAAATGAGATTTTTCTCTTCTGTGTTTTCTCTTTTGTCATCAAGTTGTTTTATGGGATAACCAGATAGTAACTAATTATCTTTTAATCAAAATCACCTGATAAATTATTATAAGAAACTATAATCTTATTATTAAAATAAGGTTCTTTGCAGTGCTAATTACAATATGACCTACCGATTTCTAAGCCTGAAGCCATACAAGTAAGTCAGTTGATACTTCCATGCTTTAGTTTCTATATCCATGCAGTGCCCATGGTCCTTATTTCTCACAGGGACTTGACAGGGGACAGTCCCTACTTGGTTTGAACTCCTTATGTGGAAGATGCTACAGTGATGCAACCAGAAAGAAGATGAGGGAAGAGAGAAAGAGGGAACTTGAAGTGGTGGTGGAAGTATCATTTATTCATATGAGTATCAACTTATTCTGGCTTCATCTCCCATTTGCAGGAGCACTTCTGTAGGGCACTTTCTCTTCCTTGCTAAAGTCTATTTACTTCATGAGGGAACTAAAAGACCTCAGAAAATATGTCTGCAAAAAACTATCATCCTGCCTCTGGGCAGAGGCATTTCCACCTAGCCATTCCTGACAAGTAGGTGTTACCCAAATGCTTTCTAATAGCCACATTACAAAGATGGTTTTCTGGATGATCTTTCCCTATATTTCAACTCTTTACCCCTAGAAAGTCCTTTGCAATGTCCATCCAGACTGATAAAGCAGGAGGGGGAAGAAGCCTTTGGCACTGCCCCCTGGAGTCCCTGCTGTTCCTCCCACACAGGCAGAGTCTGAGACCGGCCCAGGAGACCCAGAGCCCTTCTGCAAGCCTCTATCCCTGCCACACATGCAGCACACGGGTGATCTCTGCTCCACTCCTGCAAGGGCCAGGGCCAGAAACATCCAGCTCTGCTACAGTAGCTCACAGGCAGGGAGGAAAGGTTCACTGGAGAAGACACCATGCAAGAAGCAGCTGTACCCCGAGGTGGAGACAATGATCCCAGTCCAAAGCTTTGTGTGACCCCTCATGCCCACCCTGGGACTGGGCAGGACAATGTGCAGGACCACCAGGAGCTCAGGGGCTCTGCCTGGCTGGCTGTTGGCAGTGTAGTTTGTTCACATAACACCAGATCTCCTAAGGCATAAAGGAGGAAATATTGACAGAGAAAGGCATCTTCCCTTTGTGTATTCCTCATGTAATCTTGGCTAATTAGTAAATTGGCTCATGCTTCAATTAGAACTATTGAAAATGCTTTAGTAGCTGACACATGATAATTAAAGGGACATAGCCAAAACTAAGAGCTGTATTTTTAGTCTTTAGTTGTATAAGAAAACTTTAAAGTATTACAAATAAAAGATTCATAGTGATAGCCATTAAAAAAATAAATCCAAAGTAAAAAAAAAAAAATTTAAATTTCCTGTCATGGTTTCTCCACCCTAGATGACAACACTAAAAGGGGTTTCTTTGTCTTTCTGGTCATCTTCATTTTTCAGTTTGTGCCTGTTTTGTGCACAGCAGCCCAGCCCTCGCTTCCCACTGCCACCCAAGACTGCCAAGAGACATGAAATGCTGTCAAATTCACATGACAATGTTTCACACCTACTTTGTACCAATGCAAATAACTGTACCAGCAATGAGAAATCAGAGCTGCTAAGTTGCAAGTGAGTCCATTAAGCACTTCCATGCCATCAAAAAAAACCAAAACAAAACCTTTAAGTGTCTAATAAATTCAGGGCAACCCAAGAGATGTGGTATATCCGTGTATCAGCCATAGGAATCACCACTGGACCCAGTGAATGGCAAATTCACTCCACTCTCAAGTCTCACACTCAGCTTGGAAACGCTGAAACACCAAAATGCTCCATGAGCTCTCATAATGCAGTCAGCCCTGCCAGACAAGATATCCAAAGCACTCTATATTTCACTTTGTTCAAACATGACAAAATGCTCTAATATACAGGGTTCTTCAAGGAAAGATGCCACAGTTTGTTTTTAAGAATTTCTGCAAAAAAAAAAAAAGGGAAAACCAGAGTTTGTTAAACCCCCTTCTTTCAGCCGAGTCCATGTTGCTGACCAGCTGAGCTATTTAGGTTCGGTTGTACAAGCATAACAGCCCAGCTCCACAGGTTTTCTTTTCCTTATTCAGTTTAATGAAGCTACTTGGGTTTGAATATTGAAGCTGTGTGTACAGACTCATGCAGGCCCTGCCTGGCTTGCTCCAAGTCAGCTTCTTCTTGCTTGCCCTATGAGACTCGATGCTTCAGGGCCAGGGGAGAGCAGACAAAATTTCAACAGCTTGTGGAACTATTTGTTGAGGTCTGTACAGTAAGTACATGTCTTGTACAAGCAATAATTCAACGTGGCAGCCCATGAAACCAGACAGTTGAGATGGGTATGAGCCTGGTGTAGGTGCAAAGCAGAGCCAGGGCCCTGAGCACAGACATTTCACCCCTCCCTACCTTGGGCAGATTCCCAGGGGAACAGCTTCATTGAGGAGATTCTGTGCCATTTTTCTCTTAGAAAGGAATTTCAGAAGGAGCAAGACTTCAACTACAACTATACTGTGGGGAGGGAGAAAGGGAGGAATGGAGGGATGGACAGAGGGAAGGACAGAAGGAGGAAGGAGATCTTTTGTTTGCTCTAGAGAATGGCTCCAAAACTTGACAGGGTGCAGGACTGGGAGTGCCCTGGACAGGACCGGGTAGGTTGGACTACCTCAAAGTCTCTTGAGGTGTTCTGAGCAAACACAAAACAGGGATTCAGCTGGAAGTGATCCCCTGTCCCACCACAGTGTTCCTGAATTCCACCTGCAAGACAGACACTTGTCATTGGCTGGTATTGGCAGATCAGTGCTTCAAGCTGTTGCCCCTAGTTTTAGACTTTTTGCTGAAGGCATGTAGATTTGGAAGCTATATTTAGATGTCTTTTCTATTCTTCAGCAACAGGGTTGCCATGGAGATGCTGGTGAGGACAAGAAGGTGGGGACGAAGGGGGGAGGAAGTTGAGGAATGAGAAATACTAGATTCAAAACAATCCTTACCAGCCTGGGAAGGCTTTGAATTCCTCCTAGGGCAAAAACTGCTGGAGCTTGTTAGCCGAAATGAGCCCCTGGCATTGCCTGATGGTGTGACCCTGCCATGCATTGCTCAATGCTTTGTGATAGCAGGTTTGAAGAGACACAAGGGGCTGGCCTTCAAGCATTGCTCCTTTGGGAAAGTGTGGCCCCTTTCACCTGAGCTTGCCAAAACCAGAACTCTGGGAACTTCATAAATGTCTTGCTGCTGCCATGCTGCTTCACAAGTTCATACTGACTCCATACTTGGTAGCTCCTGCCGTAGCTGGGGTGGCTTTGTCTCTGCTGCCAACAGTAGAGGCAGACAGGGCACTACAGCTGGGGCCAGAGCTGCCCAAGTCGACCCAGAAGCATGGGCAGGGACATGCTAGCACACTAGAGACAAACAACCCAGCACAGGAGCCAGCAAGTGGTGGGATACAGGCAGGGAATACAGGTCCTTGATCTCTGCCTGCCAGGCACACCCACATTCCCTGGGATGATACTACCTGCAGGCACAGATAGATGTGCAGATTCATACCTACAGCATTGCTGCTCCCAGCAGAGACAACACAGACTAAGGGCTCCTCCTAACATGGCTGTTCAAGACTCACTGTACAATTACTACACTGCTGATGTCCAGGTATTAGAAAGATAAATTACTTGTTGATAGAATTTCCTTGCTAAAAGTTTAGGCCTTGACATGCTACAGTGATCTCAGACCTAGGGGGAGGTTAACAAAGCCTGGGGAGAAGCATGTACTACTGATAGTGGACACAAAAAATGCAGGATTTCCAGGCCACAAGGACATTTGGCAGAAATCCCAAGATAAGGAAGGAACTAATAAAGCCAACTCAGCAACTGTGCTGAAATTGGCTCTGACTGGGCAAAAGGTCATTTTGAAAGGAGGAGATTGCAACCATCACTCATGAAGTACCGACTCAGGAAACTGATGGACTCAAAAGAAGAGAAAGACTGAGCATGTGGACTAATTAGCATGAAAAGGGATGAAAAGCTGGTAGAGCAGAGGACTGAAATAATTTAACCAACAGACAACAGAATATTGATTAATAAGAGCACTAATATGCAAGTAATTAATTAATAAGAGCATTAATAGCCAATGAACATCAATGCCTTTGTTTGCTAAAATGCATAAATAGTGAAAAGTTTTGATAGTCCTTGTGCTAACTTTGTGGATTTGTTACCCAGCATGCCTTTCTGCACAGAACTGTAAATCAGACAAATACCTTGATTCTGTATGTGGATCAGCCTCTTGCATACCAGGTGAAAGAACCTGTTTTAGGACAACAATGGCAATGAAATTTGTCTTTTCAAGAAAGGTCAGGATAGTCCCCCTAGTTCCCAGCACGGGAGCTGGCATATCTCAACACCCCACTCTCTTTTGGCTCCTGCATGTGACAGCATCCACAGATTTCAGTGCTCAAAGCACATCAAAAAGGGTGGAGAGCAAAGCCAACTTTCCCACCACAAATGCCTCCGGATACCAGCCTCACAAGTCCCCCATCCCCTCCCTCACCCTGCTCTTCCCACACACCCACGCAGACGGCGCTTTCAGCTCGGCAGGACGGCACTCAGCCCAGCCACTGGAGTTGCACTACATCCAAAGCAGCAAGGCAGCAATCTGTAGGAAATTAATGAGCTGCAAACAACGCTGTGCAGCTGCCAGCCTGAAATGAGCCCACTCTGCACACTGCAGATACAATTATTTTATATGAACAAAAGGAGCTGGAGCCAGAGCTGGGATGCTTTGGCTCTGGTCACAGGCTTCTTGTGACCAAGATAAGGGGCAGCACAATGAATTGACACAGCCAAATCTAAGTTGCATATCCAATCATTTACATAGAGCCAAGATACTGCATCTTTATCCAAGGCTCTGTGCATTTGGTGGGACTCACAGTTCTCTGTAGCACTGAAAA